ACCAGAACGCACTTCTCAGCCTACTATGCAAGGCCGAATTTGCCTAATAAGCCAAGTTTTCATGAATTAATTGTTTTTCGACTACCTAACCTACCTAACCTAACCTAACCTAACTTTTTTGGCTGCCTAACCTAACCTAACCTATAAATATAGGTTAGGTTAGGTTAGGTAGGGTTGGTTAGGTTCGGTCATATATCTACGTTAATTTTAACTCCAATAAAAAAATTGACCTCATACATAGAGAAAAGGGTTGCTTTATCATTTCATAAGAAAAAAATTATAGTAAATATATTAATTCAGGAAAACTTGGCTTATTAGGCAAATCGGGCCTTGAATAGTAGGCTGAGAAGTGAGTTCTGGCTACTAGGTACGACATATATATATATATATATATATATATATATATATATATATATATATATATATATATATATATATATATATATATATATTATATATATATATATGTGTGTATATCACGAAAATAAACACGTGATTAAGAATGTGACAATGTCAGACCACGGAGGAAAAATGAAACAGGAATTTCCTTAAGTACTTTCGTATATTAAATACATCTTCAGAAGGTCAAATGTGACCTTCTGAAGATGTATTTAATATACGAAAGTACTTAAGGAAATTCCTGTTTCATTTTTCCTCCGTGGTCTGACATTGTCATATATATATATATATATATATATATATATATATATATATATATATATATATATATATATATATATATATATCTATATATATATATATATGTGTATATCACGAAAATAAACACGTGATTAAGAATGTGACAATGTCAGACCACGGAGGAAAATGAAACAGGAATTTCCTTAAGTACTTTCGTATATATCATTCCTTCTGAAGATGTATTTAATATACGAAAGTACTTAAGGAAATTCCTGTTTCATTTTCCTCCGTGGTCTGACATTGTCATATATATATATATATATATATATATATATATATATATATATATATATATATATATATATATCCCGATATGAACACCACAGTGTATATATTTCTTTTTATATGAATGAATATGAATATATTTCTTCTGATATGAATAAATATGTATATATTTCTCCCGATATGAATAAATATGTATATGTTGTATCTAGTAGCCAGAACGCAGTAGTCAACCTATTATGCAAGGCTTGATTTGCCTAATAAGACTAGTTTGCCTGAATTTATATATTAAAAAAAATCTTATAAAATGGTAAAGTTATCTATTTCATAATGTATGAGTTAATTTTTTTAATTTAAGTTAAAATTAAAGTAGACATATATCTACATACATTATGAAATGATAGCTTATGTTAGGTAGGGTAGGTTAGGTTCGGTCATATGACCTAACCTAACCTACCCTACCTAACCTAATCTAACCTATCTTAACCTAACCTAAACTAATATAAGTAAGTCAATAATTTGTGATCCTAATATAATATAATAATAATATAATATTTCAAATAAACCAAATGGATTTTTTTTAATTAAGAAAATCACTCGGCCTATTAGGCAAATTGGGCCTGGCATAGTAGGCCGAGAAGTGCGTTCTGGTTACTAGGTACGACATATATTTCTCCTGATATGAATAAATACATATATAGTTCTCCCGATATTAACACCAATGTATATATTTCTCCCGATATTAACACCAATGTATATATTTCTCCCGATATAATCAATGTATATATATCACCCGATATGAATAAATATGTATATATTCACAATATTATTCATTTTACGGTATTCAGTTAACCGTATATTGTTTTATGCTTTCATAGAAAATAAATAAAAAGTTTGTAACACTTGAGTGTTACTGATATTTAAATTATACTCTGCTATATTATATATTAAGATACGCTATATTATGTTAAGTACTCCGTTACGTCATAGTGTATAGTTATGTTAACTGTACTACTAAGTTTGACTAAGTTATGTGTTAGGTTATGACTTTAGTGTTCGAGGAGGCGGCTCCCCGCACTTACTACGCTAAAACACACATCCCAGTGACTACTTTACCACTCCAGGCAAAAAACAATGCGCTAAAATGCTCTGCTCCAATACTCATTTGCATAAATTACTTTACGCTGGTAATCAGCTGTTCAAACTGCCGGTTTAACTACGGCTTGATTTGTAAAGTCTAAACGTTGTTTGTGAGTCCCTTTTGGCGACCCTAAATGGTTAATAATAATAGTGTGTGTGTATTTAATATTTGTATCTACAGAATCGAGCTATTAGCTCTTGGACCCCGCCTTTCAAACCCATCTATTTTTCCTGTTATATCTGCTACATATATGTCTCTAAAACACACACACACACACACACACACACACACACACACACACACACACACACACACACACACACACACACACACACACACGCACGCACAGGAAGTAGCCCGTAGCAGCTGTCTAACTCCCAGGTACCTATTTACTGCTAGGTAAACAGGGGCATCGTGGGGGAAAAAAAATAATGCCCATTTGTTTCCGCTCCCACCGGGAATCGAACCCGGGCCATTAGGACTACGACCCCCAGGCGCTATCCACTTAGCTGCGAGGCACTCAAACCTTAGAGGTTTGTGTGTGTATGTACCCACCTAGTTGTACTCACCTAGTTGTGCTTGCGGTTGAGGTTGAGGTTGTGGAAGGTTGAGCTCTGGCTCTTTGGTCCCGCCTCTCAACCGTCAATCAACTGATGTACAGATTCCTGAACCTACTGGGCTCTGTCATATCTACATTTGAAACTGTGTATGGAGTCAGCCTCCACCACATCACTGCCTAATGCATTCCATCTGTTAACTACTCTGACACTGAAAAAGTTCTTTCTAATGTCTCTGTAGGTGCGTGTGCGTGTGCGTGTGCGTGTGAGTGTTACTTTTTACACTGATCTCTCATACTGATCCTTGTCAGGCTGTTCTTTCATAATTATGTCAGTTATCGACATCTATCTTGTGTATCTTGTCGGGTACGTGCAAAATATTACTTTTATTCATATCTCTCTCTCTCTCTCTCTCTCTCTCTCTCTCTCTCTCTCTCTCTCTCTCTCTCTCTCTCTCTCTCTCTCTCTCTCTCTCTCTCTCTCTCTCTCTCTCTCTGTCCCTCTCTCTCTCTGTCCCTCTCTCTCTCTGTCCCTCTCTCTCTCTCTATGTCCCTCTCTCTCTGTCCCTCCCTCCCTCCACCCCACCTATTCCCTACCCTCCCCGCACCAATCCCTCCGCCCTCCCCTCCACCTACCCCCTACCCTCCCCGCACCTATCCCTCCTTCCCCCCCCCCCACCTATCCCCCCCCAACATATAACAGTCTCACAAAGACCATTATGATGATGCACATATAAATTAATCCGGTTTTCGCTGTACATCGTTTCTTTCCACACATCATCACGTGGTACGTGTTAATCTCCACCCCGCTCCCAGTCATGTCTTACTCCACTCCCAGTCATGTCTTGCTCCGCTCCCAGTCATGTCTTGCTCCACTCCCAGTCATGTCTTGCTCCACCCCCAGTCATGTCTTACTCCACTCTCAGTCATGTCTTGCTCCACTCCCAGTCATGTCTTTCTCCACTCCCAGTCATGTCTTGCTCCACTCCCAGTCATGTCTTACTCCACTCCCAGTAATGTCTTACTCAACTCCCAGTCATGGCTTGCTCCACTCCCAGTCATGTCTTGTTCCACTCCCAGTCATGTCTTGCTCCACTCCTAGTCATGTCTTGCTCCACTCCCAGTCATGTCTTAACTCCACTCCCAGTCATGTCTTGCTCCACTCCCAGTCATGTCTTGCTCCACTCCCAGTCATGTCTTGCTCCACTCCCAGTTATGTCTTACTCCACTCCCAGTCATGTCTTCCTCCACTCCCAGTCATGTCTTACTCCACTCCCAGTTATGTCTTACTCCTCTCCCAGTCATGTCTTACTCCACTCCCAGTTATGTCTTACTCCTCTCCCAGTCATGTCTTACTCCTCTCCCAGTCATGTCTTACTCCACTCCCAGTCATGTCTTGCTCCACTCAAAGTCATGTTCCCCCCATGCCAGTCACGTCTCCTCCCTCCCAGTCATGTCTTTATCCCAGTCACGTCTCCCCCACCCAGTAATGTCCCCCCCCCCCTCCGCTCACTTCCCACCGTGAATATTCGATTACCTAATTATAATCAGCATTGAAAAGAAGGCATTTCCTCCCCCTAGGACATGAATGCTTGAGTAATCGGTCATCGCGCCAAATTATTAAGGTATGTCGCCAAATAATTTAATGCATTTCGGGTTTTGCAAATTTGTATCTGACCAGATTGTTCTTATCTTAGCTCTTAACGCGGTTCTGCAAATTGCAGTAAAGTAATTAAAATAGGCTTTAAGTGAATTAAAGCATATATATATATATATATATATATATATATATATATATATATATATATATATATATAATATATATATACTATACATAAATATCATGTGTGTGATGTCATTTGTTTCATATTGTTACTTAAATAATTAATAATTAGGAAAGCTTGTTATGAGCGCGCATTTTAAGGATGAAATATAAATGGTAATTGAATGAATTGATTAACATGACTAAGTGGAAGTCAACAAGCTTTTGACGAACATTGACAGCTGTAAATGTTGGAGTGTGGCTCCCTCAGTCCTCCTTCAACCCTCACGGACGCCAAGATAAAGTACCGCCAACACTTCCCCAGGCAATAGCCGGGCCAATTTAAAGACCGTGGCAAAAGCTGACAGGAAAAGAGCGTGTTAGTCTATTCATTTACCCAACACTCTAATGGTATAAACATTATCCAGCCGCTTTCTTTAGTTAGCTTTGTCTCATACCTAACGCGTTAAGTTACGGCTCGCGGGATTGGCTGGTGCCAGGCGGTGGGCACCGCCCCACGGGAGGAGGTTGAGCGTGATTGGTGGGTGGGTAACCAGGGGGCGGGGCTTAGGATGACTCTCGGATGCTGTCGGGTGATAAGTGCCAGTCTGTGGTGGACTTTGTATAGTCGACCACATGAATTTGCGCTCGGCGGTGTTTACATTATGCGGTGGTGTGACGATCGCTGCGCACACCTGTATCCTCGCGTGTTGAACTGAGTGTCCCCGGCTGATAGTTGCCCTCGTGGCGTCCGCCTGCCCCACCTCCTTCCGGTAAATGGGCAAGATTACATTACCACAACAATTCATGTGCGAAGGTAAATTGAGAAAAGTGCTATCCGACGTCTGATTTTGCCCCGCGAAATTGAACATTGTGCGAGCGTTGCCATCGATCAGACATGTCCGGGGCAACGGTGAACTCCGGAGTAGGCGAGAAGCCTCAGTCTGCCTTCAGTGCCGTCGTCAGGAAGAGCTTTTCGTCCTTCTCTGTGGACTCCATATTGAGTGGCGGGGAATCCCGGCCGGCTAGACACGCAGACGAAGGTCGCGAAGGTGAGCACAGAGGCGGGCTGGGCTGCCCGAGCTCCACACACGCCGCAGACTTCCTCCTGCGGGATGACCGCTCTATAGAGTCCTGTAAGAAGGACCGAGATGTCGGAGGACGGACCTCGCCGCCCTCGCCGGCGTGCGACGACGATGACAGAGACGAGGACATCCACGTGGACACTGACACAGAAGACGAGAAGGAACGAGACCGCCTACAGACCCAGCCTGTGATCAGACCCACGGCCCTGGGACCCTTGCAAGACCCGCGACTCTCAGGGCTGGGTCACTCTGGACCCCCTCCCCCACACACACTCTTCCCCCATCACCTGCAGGCGGGACTGTGGCCGTCGCTGCCCCTCCTCCACCATCAACTCTCCCTCCGCGCCCTCGCCAGTAAGTGTTCTCGCCGCTTTATGGGTTTTCCGTGCTCTAAATCACTAATAAAAGTCACGACAGATTTATCATGGTTTTAATGACGTTGTGAGGAACTCCGCACGAGAGGGCCCGCTTTTCCTGTCGACAGAAGTTATAGAGCCACAACAGCCTGACCACAGAAGCTCTCTTACAACAGCAACTTTTATAATTATTCTTTATCTTGTCGCAGAGACGCCGGAGCCGCCTCGGTTCCACGGCCCGATGAAGGTGACGCTGCGGAAACACAAGCCCAACCGGAAGCCCCGCACGCCCTTCACCACCCAGCAGCTCCTGGCGCTGGAGAAAAAGTTCCGGGAGAAGCAGTACCTGAGCATCGCCGAGAGGGCCGAGTTCTCCGCCTCCCTCAGCCTGACGGAGACGCAGGTCAAGATCTGGTTCCAGAACCGACGCGCCAAGGACAAGCGGCTCAAGGAGTCAGAGATGGAACGTCTCCGTCTGGCGTCCGAACCGCTCGTTCCGCCCAACCCCTTCCTTCCGCCCGCTTCCCTCCTGCCGCCCTTCCTGCTCAATAGTCCGTTCGTCCAGGGCGGCCTACGCCACCCACTGGGGCCGCCCACAGCACCGCCGCCCACCGCCTCCCCGCCCACCTCACACTAGCATCCGCAGGTCTGTCTTTTATGGTACCCATTCTCTTCCTGCTGTTGGGAAGATCCTCCTTCAGGTACTCTTCTCTCCCCGGTACCTCCGCCTCGGTATTACCTACCCGGTATATCGTAGTAGGTGCCTCCGCTTTGGTACCATCTCCGGTACCTCTGCTTCGGTACTTACCCCATCCCCCAGGTACTTTTGCCTCTGTACCATTCCCCTGGTACCTCTTCCTTGGTACCCTTCCCCCCCCCCTCCCAGCGGTACCACTTCCCCGGTACCTCATCGGTAAGCCGACGCTACTAGTCACGTCCCAGAAGTCGTCGTGATGGTCGTCACTGTTTCCCAAATGACGAGTCCATGACGTGCACTGCTGACCTCATCCGTGCACATAGTCTACCGACCCCATCATGTACGTCCAGACACCACCGTGCACGGCCGACCCCATTCTTGCACTATCAGCGCCATTCGTGCACCACTACTACCCCCCCCCCCTTCCACCCGTGCCCTATCAACCCCCACCCGTGCCCTATCAACCCCACCCGTGCACTACCAGACCTGCTACGCCCAGGTGATGCTTACTGAACCATCGTGATGTTACCACGAAACTTGATACATACTGAACGACCTTGGATGAACACTATTGGTCTCCAGAGAAAACAGAACTGCGTTGTTTCTCCCTCCCTCCCCCCCTGGTGATTTGTTTGTTATGGCTGTATCATTGGCCAGTATGGTGTGTGTGTGTGTGTGTGTGTGTGTGTGTGTGTACGCTCCGACTTGTACTGCCCTGTGAGGTGTATGAGTGGTCCAGTGGTGTACAATTGTGTATTATGATGTATATTCCACGCTGCCTTGTCCTGTGTGGCAGATGGTGCGGCTAGTGCCGTATCTGCCCGTATGGTGTATGTTAAGGTTGTATTGCCTCATTTTTGACGTATATTAAGGCTTCATTGATCAGTATGGTGTATGTTATGGTGGTATTGACTTCGCGAGGTATGTGTTGCTGCTGTATTGAACTGCGAGGTATATGTTATACCTAGGGTTTCTAATATGGCATGATTGATGTATTCCTGTATGCTGAGTGTTACGTCTGTATTCCCTGTGTGTGGTGTATGTTACGACTGTATTCCCCGTATGGTGTATGTGACGACTGTATTCCCCATATGGTGTATGTGACGACTGTATTCCCCGTATGGTGTATGTGACGACTGTATTCCCCATATGGTGTATGTGACGACTGTATTTCCCGTATGGTGTATGTGACGACTGTATTTCCCGTATGGTGTATGTGACGACTGTATTCCCCATATGGTGTATGTGACGACTGTATTCCCCGTATGGTGTATGTGACGACTGTATTCCCCGTATGGTGTACATGACGACTGTATTCCCCATATGGTGTATGTGACGACTGTATTCCCCGTATGGTGTATGTGACGACTGTATTCCCCGTATGGTGTACATGACGACTGTATTCCCCGTATGGTGTATGTGACGGCTGTATTCCTCGTATGGTCGTATGGTGTATGTGATGACTGTATTCCCCGTATGGTGTATGTCACAGTTGTATTCCCCGTATAGTGTATGTGACTACCGAATCTTCCTCTGGAGTGCGTTGACTATTTCATATCACGCCAAGCTTGGCGGTCTCTAAGGCTTCACCTCAGAAAGCGTCGCTCAAACAACAGATAAAGCGAAATGTGAAGAAACCTGTCATGTCTAATGTTGTATGCCAGTGCCCTCAACGTACAAAATAAGGGGTACTATGAAAAGTAGAGGCTCAAAAATATGCACGTTTTCTATACGTTAGGTTGGTTAGGTTAGGTGGGTGGCTTGAGTTTGTGCTTTTTTAGTACCTCCTTATTTTGTATGTTGTGGCAGTTCAAGAGAACTGGCTGGACTGTGAACAGTTAGAACACACATGTCCCCCTTCACTTCACAGCAGTCATGTTAACCAGTCAGATATGACGCTCGCCTCTGTTCTTGTCACGCACACACACACACACACACACACACACACACACACACACACACACACACACACACACACACACACACACACACACACACACCGATATACAAGGGCAATTTTACTTGTTTGTTGTTATTGCGAAGAATTTTTCACGTATGTTTACCTCTGTACATATTGTATACTTGTATAATGAAGGACACTTGTATAATTACCTGTACTTGCTTGCCAAAGAGCGTAATATGCATTATATTGTTTATCTTGTTTAAACTAATTTATAATAATAAAGGTATTTTTATAATCGTACTTGTCTCTCTCTCCCTCGGAAACCTTGAAGCGTTACGCTCAGTACAAGACAAATAATTTTTATCCTTGAGGCAGGTGTTCGAGGCTTCACAAATTGGTTCAGTTTAACCTGAAGAAATGCCTTCAAAATTTAAAGTTGTATAATTAAGGAAAATATATAAACCTTTCAGGAAAAAAAATAATAATTAGAGTAAATATATAACAGTTTTGTCAGAAGAACAAACACCAAATTTATTTGACTATATATTATAATATATACTTTGAAATTGTCAAACAAATGTTATTACCGTCGGATGATTTATCCGTTTTTTATTTTGTAGAATTTTTTTTAGCAATGAATATATTGATAATGCTATTCAGAGATTTATTATATATATATATATATATATATATATATATATATATATATATATATATATATATATATATATATATATATATATATATATTGAGAAGAACAAGTTAAGAATATATAAATATAAATATATATATATATATATATATATATATATATATATATATATATATATATATATATTTATATTTATATATATTTGAATAACAATAACATTTACTGATAATTTGAAATTATTACAATTTAATTTTTGTTTACAATTTATTTTCAGATCTCAAATATATATTTGAGAATGTGCATCCTAATGTAAAGATTTGTGCGATCAATGGTTATGTGTGCGTGCGTGCGTGTAGTTACAAAATATGTGTGCAGCTATGAATGGGTGCATCTATGTAGTTATGAATACATATACAAGTAGTAAATATGGAGATGTGTGCGTGTATGTGGTTATGAATATGCGTGAATAAATGTATATATTTGTCTGTCTATTCATCTATTGATTGATTTATCTCTATATATCTGTTTCTATCTGTTCTATCTCAGGTAGATGAAATTGATATAATTATTAGTATCAAATTGCTAGCTAAAATGGAATAGCTAATAGGCAGTAATTAATGAGTAAATTTAAATGTATTTAGTATCATTGTTACCATATGATTATATAAGTGTTTGAAGGCACATGAAGGATGATCAAATAATGGACGTAATAATTATATCAGATAATAGCCATATATATATATATATATATATATATATATATATATATATATATATATATATATATATATATATATATATATATATATATATATATATATATATATATATATATATATATATGTCGTACCTAGTAGCCAGAACGCACTTCTCAGCCTACTATGCAAGGCCAAATTTGCCTAATAAGCCAAGTTTTCCTGAATTAATATATTTTCTCTAATTTTTTTCTAATGAAGTGATAAAGCTACCCATTTCATTATGTATGAGGTCAATTTTTTTTTAATGGAGTTAAAATTAACGTAGATATATGACCGAACCTAACCAACCCTACCTAACCTAACCTAACCTATCTTTATAGGTTAGGTTAGGTTAGGTAGCCGAAAAAGTTAGGTTAGGTTAGGTTAGGTAGGTTAGGTAGTCGAAAAACAATTAATTCATGAAAACTTGGCTTATTAGGCAAATTTGGCCTTGCATAGTAGGCTGAGAAGTGCGTTCTGGCTACTAGGTACGACATATATATATATATATATATATATATATATATATATATATATATATATATATGTCGTACCTAGTAGCCAGAACGCACTTCTCAGCCAACTATGCAAGGCCCGATTTGCCTAATAAGCCAAGTTTTCCTGAATTAATATATTTTCTCTAATTTTTTTCTTATGAAATGATAAAGCTACCCATTTCATTATGTATGAGGTCAATTTTTTTTATTGAAGTTAAAATTAGCGTAGATATATGACCGAACCTAACCAACCCTACCTAACCTAACCTAACCTATCTTTATAGGTTAGGTTAGGTTAGGTAGCCGAAAAAGTTAGGTTAGGTTAGGTTAGGTAGGTTAGGTAGTCGAAAAATAATTAATTCATGAAAACTTGGGTTATTAGGCAAATCGGGCCTTGCATAGTAGGCCGAGAAGTGCGTTCTGGCTACTAGGTACGACATATATATATATATATATATATATATATATATATATATATATATATATATATATATATATATATATATATATATATATTTATATATATATGTATATATATATATATATATATACACACACATTATGTCAGACCACGAAGGAAGGATTAAGACAGGAAATTCCTTAAGTACTTTCGCATTTAATAATACATCTTCAGAAGGGTCCTTTTGAAGATGAATTATTAAATGCGAAAGTACTTAAGAAATTTCCTGTCTTAATTCTTCCTTCGAGGTCTGACATAATGTGTGTATGTATATTATATATATATATATATATATATATATATATATATATATATATATATATATATATATATATATATATATATATATATATATATATATATATATATATATATATATATATATATATATATATATATATATATATATATATATATATATATATATGTCGTACCTAGTAGCCAGAACGCACTTCTCAGCCTACTATGCAAGGCCCGATTTGCCTAATGAGCCAAGTTTTCATAAATTAATGTTTTTTCGACTACCTAACCTACCTAACCTAACCTAACCTACCTAACCTAACTTTTTCGGCCAGCTAACCTAACCTAACCTATAATGATAGGTTAGGTTAGGTTAGGTAGGGTTGGTTAGGTTCGGTCAAATATCTAAGTTAATTTTAACTCCAATAAAAAAAATTGACCTCATACATAATGAAATGGGTAGCTTTATCATTTCATAAGAAAAAAATTTGAGAAAATATATTAATTCAGGAAAACTTAGCTTATTAGGCAAATCGGGCCTTGGATAGTAGGCTGAGAAGTGCGTTCTGGCTACTAGGTACGACATATATATATATATATATATATATATATATATATATATATATATATATATATATATATATATATATATATTTTACTGAGTACTATTGTGTTATTAGACATCTATTTATAAGATTTTTAAATTTTTGAAGTGTTAGTATGTATTGGTCGGCAGCTTGTTACGAAAATGCGATCAATGATTTTGAGTATTATTAGTGATAAGAGAAATAGCTTTGTTCGTGCAAGGGGGAAGATCTGTCTGGTAGCCACATATCTCATATGTTGTGTGATAGTTTATTCATAAAGAAGGGATTTATAGATAAGCTAAATGTGAAATAAGCTTAAATGTCAAAGTTTGTTTCAAGTTTGGATCAAGGGGTCAAGTTTGGTTCTCACTAAATGTGCGGCTCTGTCTTGAATGTTGGCTATCATCGTAAGTTAGACTGTATCCAGGATTCTCAAGTTAGTGGCGAGTTCTCCATTACTCCATCATTGTTACTGTCATATTTCTCTCAGGTTGGAAATCTCTCGGTACACCCTACACGTTGTAGGGTGTACCGATAGGTATATGTAGGGCTGCTGCAGTCGTATTGTCAGTTTGCAGTAGTTGTCAGGGGGGGGGGATATACTGAGATATTCCAAATGATCTCAAATGTATGATGTATAATGGTATATTTCGTGCCTGTATTTAATTCAGATTCGTGCTGTTGGTCTGTGTGGATAGTTGGTCGTAGGCATATTCGTCTTCCTAGTGTTTCGTGGAATATTTTACCAGGACATAAAAATATCCAATTATACCTTCCAGGAAATATGTTCGGATATCATTACTTTAAATTTATATAAATTTACTGGCAAATGTAGAAGCGTAAAGTAAGGTGGAGGTCAAGCTGCAAATAATAGTGCAAATGATTTACAAATTCAAGCTTGATGGTATGTTGACTCAACTCAGGCTTTTCCTAATACCAGAACCTGACAGTATCACGGTAAGCTTCATGTAACCCCAGGACGTAAGTCAGGCTCTGTTGGGCTCAGGTTAAAATATATTCAAACTTTCTAAGGATATAGATGTATGTATATCTAATATATTATTGAATATAACAGAAAAATATGTTCTTTTCTAATACAAAAAAATTGGAAAATTAACTAATAATAACAAGTTAAGTTAGCAGTTTTATATAGCCTGACGCAGAGATGATTTTGATTGTTGCCGCCCGAGGCGGCTAATTTATTCTGCACCCCATACTCATCCTGTGAGCGGTAGCGCAAGAAATGATTACAGAGGGCACAGAAGGTCTTTATCAGACCTCAACGGAGAGTATTAACAATTACATCTATTCCATTCACCTGTGCTGTAGGAGTCTCGAACCGCGGACCCCACGCCTGTGATGCCGAAACTCAATCGACTGGGCAATGAGTAGTCTTAATAAGGAAAGAAATCTATCATTCACACATTATATTTATAATGTCAGCTAGTTACAGAGAAGGTTCCATTTGAATAGTTATATATTTACAGTTAAATATTATACATTAATGGTACGTCTTTTCGCTAATCACTTTTTTTTTATTAATATATTAGATACATCTTCCATTTGTGCAGCTACCTTACACTATATGAAGGGGAGAACAGTGTGTCAAAAAGCTAGCTGCGTAATGTTAAAAAATCCCCATCACTCAGGATGGTTAGTCATACAGAGGCACGTGATAAGCAGTCTGCACTGGCAGACTCTGGGTGCATTATGAGGATATCATCAACACGAGAGTGAATAAGGTAGCAGTGATATTAAAAGTCCCCATCTCGCAGGATGGTTAGTCATACAGGGCCATATGTTTAGTAGCCTGCACTGGCAAATTTTGGGTACACTGTGAGGATATCTTCAAGAACACGAGAATGAATAAAATAATTGCAAAGCTCTGGGTACACAGGCGATGAGTCACAATAACGTGGCTGAAGTATGTTGACCAGACCACACACTAGAAGGTGAAGGGACGACGATTGTTTTTTTTTTATTGTTGCCGCCAGAGGCGGCTAGTTTATTGTGCACCCCATACCCATCCTGTGAGCGGTAGCGCAAAAAGCATTACAGAAGGCACAAAAGGTCTTTATCAGACCTCATCTTAGATTATTACATAAACAATTTCATCTATCCTT